CAAAACAAGAATCAGCACTTAACTAATGTTTTTAAATCTGCTCTGTATTCATTGTTTAGGGTTAGAAATATTATTGTATTTTAGTTGACAGAATTTCAGTTTTCCTAGACAAATTTATGAGAACGGGTGGACCAAAAATGGTCCACCTATTTTGCAGTAAAGGAAAAAGTGTTTAGTTCATGTTAAACTATTAAATACGTAAGGTCATTAAGGTCATAAACAACTGCATGTGTCATCTCATACTTTTCTTTTCTTTCTTTCCTTCTCTCATATAAATTCTTTTCAAACATCCTTTGTTCTTGGTGCTAAGATAGAGTGACGTCATAATTTCTCTCTTCTCCTCTGAAATTTTGTTTTTCGAGAATATTCTCACTCTCTATTGAGTATATATATATATACTCCCATTCTCATTGACGAATTTACGTTGTTCTTGAATTTGCAAAGGATATCATTTCTTTATACCATTTTTACAATTAAAACTAACCAAATGGAATTCTATGGAAATAATGAAGTCGATGACGAGTCTTATGATTCAGATGCCAGTCATGATACCAGCGAGAGTAACTTCGATTTTGATTACGATGAACCAGCCGATAAGTTAGATGAGGTTGAACTTCCGGATGAAGATTTGGACGTATATACAGAGGAGCTGAATTTAATGAACGAAAGTTATGTCACAGATGGTGACTTTACCTCAATCTCTCTCAAAGAACCAACTCCAATTGCAGTCTTTCGAACCTTTTTTACTCAAGAAATTTTAAATCTGATCACTGACCAAACAAACATTTATGAAAAAGGAAAGAAACAAAGTAATAGTCAAAGAAAAACCAGTAACTGAAAGGATGTGAGCAAAAAAGAGATTGAATCATTTCTCGGATTGATTATCCTAATGGGTATCAATGACTTGCCGAATATAAAACTTTACTGGAGTAAGAATATGGTATTTCATAATACATTTATCAGTTCGATCATGTCACAAGATCGTTTTCTTGAAATCTTTTATAATTTACATTTGGCTAATAGCTCATTGGAACCAAAACGAGAATCTAAAGACTACAGTAAAATTTACAAAGTTAAGAATTTTATTGAAATTTTACGAAGAAATTTACAAAGAAACTATAACTTTGGCCGCTACGGTACAATCGACGAAAGTATGATAAAATTCAAAGGAAGATCAAGCCTCAAGCAATATTTACCTCTGAAACCAATAAAAAGAGGTTACAAAGTTTGGTGTTTATGTGATCCAATCACTGGTTATTTATTCAACTATCAAATCTATTTAGGAAAAGAGGAAACCAGTGAAAAAGAAATACATTTAGGTGAA